TGTCAGTCCCATTTGGAGGTAGTAATAGAGTGAGGCAAGGTGGGATTTTAACTCCTGTTCTGTTTAATCTTTTTATGGATGAAATGTCACAGAGATTAAATGAATGCAAAACTATTCTATTAATTTTACATTCATCAATATTTTAATGTTTGCAGATGATCTTGTTGTATTCAGACCAAGTAGTGCTGGTCTCTAAGACCTTTTATTAAAAAAAGTGCCACACAAGCCAGAAGAGAGCAGTCTTTTATTTGTTTTCTCTATTTTTCTCTCCAACTGTTAATTGCTTTCATGATCAGAAGATAGTTTTACTGCTCAGTAGTTATATATTTCAAAATGTGAAGCAGATGTTTGGGTGTTAAATGGACCAGACAGAAGTTAACAAGGAATAAAACCACTGGAGAATACTAAAGGATGGGCAGTCTCAAAGATTTTTATTCATGCTGTAAAGTTAGGTACTTATTATCTTCACAGGGTTAAAAACAAAGTAAAGACAAAGAATGAAAAACCTCCACATATCAAAGAGAACGTAAATCTCCATCTGGTATTTTGTTGGTGTCTCTCAGTTTCGGACCCTCAGACTCGCTCAGCTGAACACATGTAGAGGTCCTTGGGAACAGGAGGGTATTACAGAGCACACGGTGAACTCCGTCTGAATTCAATTCAAATTCAAATTCAAAAATACTTTATTGATCCCAGAGGGAAATTAGGTACTGTAAAAGAAAGACTGGGTCTTACTTACAGTCTGAACCCCACTGTAGTGTGTGTTTATACATTTGCTTGAAGCGCTGTCTTTAGCTCCACGTATAGTCGCTCCCTCTATGTGGGGTATGTATTGAGTCAAAGAAGTTTGACAGAGAGCCCGCAAGCAGTCGTCCTCCGAGGACTGTTTATGTCCATGTGAAAAGACAGAAAACCAGGAAGAGACACACGTTTTTTTTCTCGGACTCGCCATAATTCTGTATATAAGATCTCACATAATCGAAAACAAACTGATCTTTATAAGTTTGCAAATTTGTGCTCAAGCCTTTTTTTCCTAGCCTTATGTAGATACTGTGACATTTTTTTATTTTATTTTATTTTTTGCAAACAAAGCAATAAAGTAGTAAAGCGCCACCTCAACCTCTCCTGCCTTCAGGCTTCACTTTGTTTAAAACAACAACTGGGAGCAATAAGGCATCAGCTGAAAACAAGAGAATGTGATACTTCGAAGGGAAACAACCGCAGGACTTACATCCATCTGTCTGTCAATCTCAAAAAGCACACACACACACACACACACACACGCACGCACGCACGCACGCACGCACGCACGCACGCACGCACGCACGCACACACACACACACACACACACACACACAGGTTTGTATTTATGTTCTTGTTAGGACTGTTCATCGACGTCCATTCATTTCCAACCATTTCTGTAGCCTAACCCTGACCCCTCACCCTAAACTCAATTCGCACCTTAACCCAAAAACGGAGCTCCGCTATATTAGGACCAGTCTCTGGTCCCCATGTGGACTACTTGTCTTGACAAAGTAGGTGTATATACCAGAAACGATCCTAAAAATGTAACAAATACAAGTTCACACACACTCACACTCACACACACCTCCACTCTCCCACAMCTCCATGTTTCCCAATCCTTCTGCAACAGAAGAAAATCTAATTTAAGGGAGGAGGAAGAGATGAATGYTTCGGGGTGAAAGCAGTGAAGGTCAGCTTCTTGCTTCCATGCTAGCTGGYGGCAGTGAGCATCTACAAAAAGTTCTCTGCCTCCTTTTTTTTGTTACGTAMAAATAGTTTCACTTTGAAAATCC